GGTTTTTCCTGTAGTGATGTATGGAAGTGAGAGCTGGACCATGAAGAAAGCTGACCACCGAAGAATTGATGCTTTTGAATTGTGGTGTTGGTGGAGGCTCTTGAGAGTCCCCTGGATTGAAAGGAGAACAAACCTATCCATTCTAAAGGAAATCAAACCTGAGTGCTCACTGGAAGGACAGATCCTGAAGCTGAGGCTCCAATACTTTGGCCATCTCATGAGAAGAGAAGACTCCTTGGAAAAGACCTTGATGTTAGGAAAGTGTGAAGGCAAGAGGAGAAGGGGACGACAGAGGATGAGATGGTTGGACAGTGTCATCGAAGCTACCAGAATGAATTTGACACAACTCCGGGAGTCGTGTATAATGAAGAATACAATAGTCGTTTTCTTAATTAGTGGCAATCTGCCACTCTAATTTATACTATTTGATTCAGGCAAGTGTATATAAATAACAGGATTTGAACCAATAATGATAAGGACCTTCTACAGAACAAGGAGGCTCCAGGACCTTGGAAAGCAGGGATACACAACTTTTCCTCCTCCAAAGTTCTGAGAGCTCTGGTAGTTATTCTGGTCGTCTCTGTTTTTCTCTCTGTTGGAAAAAACAACAATCTTGCATGCAACCTAACACTAAGTTTCAGTGGAAGATTAGAGTTTTCACAAACTAAGGTGACTGTCTTGTGCTACTAACTCATTAACAAAGTCTCCTTGGGCTTGAGAAAAGCTCCTGCCACCACTTCCTGTTTGTTTGCTTCCATTGTTTGTTTCCTCTCTCTTCTTCTCTGACCTTTAACCAGAGCAGACATGTAAACGCTGCTTCCTGACCTTTCTAGCCATATGGTTTCATGGATCTCTGCCCTTCCCAGCTGGTTGACAGATCAATCCCCCTGTTATCTTTTTTATTGTCTTTTTTATTCTTCTGATTGTAACTGACATTCCACAACTGTAAATAAATATTTTTTCTTTTTCTACTTAAGCTACATGTAGAGTGTTTTTATATACAAAGGGCTAGCTTCCATGAGGACAAAAGGGACTGGGTAGAAGCGGGAACTTCGAGCTATTCTCCCTCACAGTTTCTCTGTGCTTTAAGCTCTGTTAACTAAAAGGAAATTTGTACTTTATGCTCTGTTAACTAAAAGGAAATAAGAACAACAACAAAAATCATCCAACAAATAGCACCTTGGCTCTGAAACCCTCTCAGCACCAGGTATTTAGGAAATACCTCACCCCAGCAAGAGACAGGAGTTGCCACCTCCCCCCCTTTCTCTAGTTGTGGGTCGCCTCCTTGTCTTCACCACCACCATTAATGGAGAAGTGTGGGTGCATCCACTATTGCCTCTTTCTATGGCCAGATGTCCTGTGCTGATATCTCTCTCTCTTAGAGCACAGAAACACCACCCAGTTGGGACCTAGCCACTGGGGTACATAGGATACTTCCCACCACCTCACGCTTAGCCAGTGTCATTGAGCTGTTTTTGCCCAAATTGGCTGATATCTTCTATAGTTTCACTTTGATTTTAAAATCATGAAGTCGATTTTATGTGGCCACCTTGAGAAGCCATGTTGGCTGGAAGACTGTATGATTTACAGCTCAAAAATGCTAATTTTCCACATTTAGGTCATAGGAATATGGCTTTTCATAGACTGAGTTTTCATAAAGCATTTGTCTGGGTGAAAGAGACAGGAGAAAAAGCACATTTTAACTAACCTGATAAACAACATAAAGGGTGGTGGAAAATGCAAAAAATAACAGCAGCCACCCTATGTATAAATTACCCACTCACACCAAGAAATGCCATTAAGTGGAAGTTCTATTGCTAATTTCACTACATTACACATGATGAAGAAGCAGGGAACAGCAGGTGCTTTATAGCGACACAGTATATTTCAACGCTTTTACTTTAAAAAAAAACCCAAATGGTAAATTAAACAAAACTTTTTGAAAAACACAACCCATCTCTTCTGAGGGGGAAAAATGTGTCTTTTAAGTTTATGAGCTGTCTGTGCAATTCACCCAAGCTGAACAAGGGGATACAACTCCTACCTCCTGGAATAAAAACCCTCTCTTGAAAGGATCATTTTTATTTCAAACTCTGCTAAGTTATAAGTAATTATTATCTTTGTCATTTATTTAACAGGAGGAAAGGAGTGGAGTTGGTGGGGGGGAGAAACTGCTTTGAGGAGCCTTGCACTTCAAAGGTGAAGGACGGTAAAAACAAATCAGAGCTATAAACAAATGGTCTCTTTGAATTCTTCACTTTTGGGGCAGAAAAATGAGGTGTGCGGGGGCACGGAGAAGGGAGGGAAAATGTCATTTTATGGAATTTTGGCAAGGCGAGGAGAAATTCACCAACATTTCCTTTTAGGCAAGTCTCATTATTTACATGGACAGTAACACTGTTCGTTTCCTTCGTCCCAAGCTGTTTTGTCCTGTTCCAGATGATGGTAGTTTTGCTGCTGCTGTGTCGTCTGCCATTTTGTGAGGCATTATGGGAACAAAATGGTGGATGCCACAAACCATGGTGGAACATTTTCAGGTAAAATGCACTGTAACTTTTTTCTAGTGAGGAGCAGGGAACTGAAACATCTTAGAAATGTACTCCCCACAGCTCCATCCCTATGATGACTTGATTCTAATTCCATAAAATTGTAACACACGGGAGTGCTGTCTGGTCATGAAGGCACATTTTCCAGACTTATTGGGGTTATTTGGGTGTGTGTAGGCCCCAAGAAGGGATGTGGTGGCGCTGTGGGTTAAACCACAAAAGCCTCTGTGCTGCAAGGTCGGAAGACCAGCTGTCAGAAGATCGAATCCACGTGACAGAGTGAGCTCCCGTCGCTTGTCCCAGCTCCCGCCAACCTAGCAGTTTGAAAGCATGTAAATATGAGTAAATAGGTACCACCACGGTGGGAAGGTAACCGCGTTCCGTGTCTAGTTGCACTGGCCACGTGACCACAGCAACTGTCTCCAGACAAACACTGGCTCTACGGCTTGGAAACAGGGATGAGTGCTGCCCCC